CTTCAGCCATTAGATACCCTAAGGGATCTCAAGTGTCTCTTTCTCAGGAGAAACTCCTGACTAAGTACATCAGCCCCCACTGTAAGCCCTGTGACCTCTGCTGTTTAGTCCCTGTTTCAGTAACAACTGTACAGTTGTAGTAGGTCTAGAAGACTTAAGAGGCTGGAAACAGCATCTTCTTTTGCTTACCACTGACTGACAGGGTATCTTAACATAGCAAATAGTAAAAATATTGTCTAGATCCATGACAGAATAGCAACACTAGAAGCAAAAAAATAAATAAATAATAAATTTTTAAAAGTATGAGCAAGATCACTGAGGCAAGAAAGCGCATGGCACATGTGAGGAATAGTGAGTAACCCAAGACAGCAGATTAGCACCAGAACTAGAAGGATGCTGCGAAAGGATTAAAAATAGTAGTGAGGGCCAGATGGTTTAGAGCTAGAAATTCAAAATTAAGCATTCAATTCTGCAGCTAATGGAAAGCCATTAAAAAATTCTAAGCAAGAGAAATAGAACTAGATATCATCAGACAATGATTGCAAACATGACCATACACTGGATTTATTCAAGGGGATATAGAAAAATGCCAATGCCTAGGTCCAAACCCAAGAGATCCTGATTTACTTGGTATGGGGTATGCTCCAGACATGAGTTTTAAAAGCTCCCTGATGATTGAGAAATGCAGGAAAGTTTGAGAGCCACCCCTTTAGAAAAACTGTTCTAGAATCTGTGTTGTTCTTAAATTGGGAAGGACCACACTGAATTCAGACAAACTGGTTAGGAAACTCTCTTATGAAACAAATCTGATCTAGGACAGATCCCAATAATGGAAGGGATGATGTCCTCTTCTGAAAAAATTTTGCAAGTGTCAAATGTTAGACTGAGATGGCTAACTGGACATGGGAAATAAGAAAAAAGAATTGGAAAATGATTCCAGGGTTCCCACCTGGGGAAACAGCATAGATGGTACTGGGACAAATCAACAAATTTAACTGAGAAAGAAAATACAAGAGGAGGGCAGGGATCAGAAATAAAGGAAAAGAAGAAAGAATGCTGAGCCCATCCCCCTATCAATTTGGCCTTCACCTACCTCCCCTCTCCCCAAAGCTGTCATCACTAAGTGAAGCCAAATATTAGTGCCTGACTACTCTGCCAGGGGCCAGTGAAAGTCAGCAGATTTAGGATGCTGCAGGATAACAGGACATTCATTCCCCCTCTGACGGCCCTCTCCTGGGACCTCCCTGCCTGAACAGTCCTGATATAGAATTCTTCCCAAGAGGACTTCGGTATTTCAGCTGTCACCAGCTCCCGCCGAGAAAGAGGCACAGTTCAGGAGTGAAGATCCAATCACCATGAGCCCATAGATCACAGTCTCCACCTTGACTCCTTAAATTGTGTCACCAAGCAGATGGGAAGCCAGCACTGAACGCAGAGCACAGATGCTGTGTGTTCACACAGAGTATAAGTGAGCTGTGTGGTTCTTCTTTTTAATTTCTTACCTAATAACAAGCTTCCAGTCCCCAGATCAATACTGCCAACACACTGCTGCGCACCTCACCAGGTATACATTGTTGTCTCTATTACTCTTTTTAGAGAAATAATTATGTGTACACACCCGTGTAAAAATTATTTATGGTTTATCCTTTCTCTTCTCAAATGAAACAATTAAAAGATATGCTTTTTAAAAGGTCTGTCCCTTCCTTTCACAGTAAAAATTTGTTGGGATAAGTTGCAGTTTTGTAAATGTAAGGTTAGATCCCCTAGGATCTATAAACAGAGGCTGTGAAAGTGGAAAAAATGTGACAGAGATTCCTCTCCATAGCATAATGGCACGAGAAAAAACACATCACATGTCTGAACAACCTGCAAAATGACCAGCTTCAGCAAAAATGCAGCCTGATCTGTCTCTTGGCTGCCAGGACAAGCAAAAATAAGAGGAACACCAGGCACTTGACAATCCTCTCAGAGCTGTAAACTGGAAAGAAGCTCCTTGACATATATTCCCATGAGGATGGTAGGTTTACTATTCTCATACTAGCCACAGGTATCTCAAGGACTGTCTCCTCATCTACGAATTCTCTCTAGTATCTTAACCGGCTGAGCCACCCCGGAACCCTGAATTCTCTCTGGTATCTTAATGGAAGCATGTATGTGAGTAATTTTCAGCAGTATCCTTGCCCACTTCTCTCCTTTTGTTTCCACAAGGTTCAGCCATGTGCCCCAAGAACCACACAGGGGAAACTACTCTCCCCTTAGCCAGTCTTATCACGTAAACATTCTTCCCCAAGCAAGTTAGAAGACTACGGAGATTCTTTTACAGAGCAGCGTGAGATCTGGTTTGCCAGTTACTAAACCAACCTGGTAGCCTTGAGCAAGTATTTAACCTCTCTGCACTTTGGTTTCATCATCCATAAAACAGGTTAATAATAGTCTCTAGTACAGGATGGCTATGAAAATTAAATACTTTAACACAGGCATGTGTTACTCTTGGCACACAGTGATTGTCCCCAGTATATTAGCTGCTGTCACAACTTTTCAAAGAAGCAGTACACTTTAGTGACTAAGAATATTAACTCCACAGCCTGACTACTTGGATTCAAATCCTGACTTCACCACTTCTCGGCTATGTGACTGAAAACAAGTTACGAACTTCCCTGTGTCTCTGTTAGTTAACCTACAGAAGAGGAATAATAATGTTATCTGTCATAAATGGTTATTGTAAGGATTAAACTAAACATGGGGCACCTGGGTGCTTCAGTAGGTTGAGCATCTGACTCTTGATTTGAGCTCAGGTCCTGATCTCATGGTTTGTGGAATTGAGCTCTGCATTGGGCTCTGTGCTGTTAGCTCTGTGCTATACTAGCGACTAGCTTGAGATTCTCTCCCCTTCTCTCTGCCCTTCCCCAGCTGTGCTCTCTCTCTCTCTCTCTCAAAATAAAGAAACCTTAAAAAATAAACTAAATACATATATATATATATATATATATATATATATATATATATATATGATAGGAAAGAAACTGAGATAAAGAAAATGAAAGAGAGACAGAGTGCACTACTGAATACTTATGTCCCCCACAAAATTCACATGTTGAAGCCTCTTCCCCTAAAGCGATGACATTTGGAGGTGGGGCTCTTAGAAGGTGATTAGGTCTTAAGCATGAAACCTCATGAATGGAATTAGTGTCCTTATAAAAGAGGTCCTAGAGAGCGCCCTTATGCCTTCTGCAATGAGAGGACACAGTAAAAAGACTAAAGCAAGCCCTCACCAGACACTGAGTCTTCCTGTGCTTTAATCTTGGAATTTGCAGACTCCAGAATGGTGAAAAGTAAATTTCTATTGTCTATAAGCCACATAGTCTGTGGAAGTTTGTTATAGCAGCCCAAATAGGCCAAGACACATACACACAAACACACACACACACACACACACATACAATAACTTAGAACAATTCTTAACAAATAGTAAATAATACATATGCTAGCCATTTTGTTATTATTATTATTATTGTTGTTGTTATTATTATTATTATTCCTATGGGTTAGGACAATATATAATGCTAAGTAGTAATGTAACAGTTCATACAATTGGCAGTTTTAGGGTATCTCTCTGATATGTAGAAGAACCTTGAATTTTAACTGATAACTCTTCCCCCTATATCTCTGAGCTTCACCCTCCTTATCTGTAAAGTGGGATAATAAAATAATCCTCCGTCTGCAACATTACAATAAAAATCAGAAGTCAAATTTGTAGAGATCTGAGTCAAGGGACTGAGGCAAACTTCTAAACAAATCCCATGCTGACCCTCTTCCCCTCTAGAGTCTGGCCAAGGGAAATATGTACACAAGAAATCAATCAGATATGAAAATAAGTGCTGTTCTATAAATGACCTGGAGCTATACAAAATTCATAGAATAATCTACATAACTCAGGAAAGTGCTATACTTATGGTTAAAGTTATATTACAAAGAACACAAATCAAGAACACCCAAATGAAGAGATGCATACAGCAAAGTCTAGGAGGGTCACAAACACAAAGCTTCTATGTCTTTAGGACATGTCACCCTTCCAGCATATCAGTGTATGTTTGCCAACCAGGACTCACCTAAACATTGGTGGAATAATCTTTAACACACGACAAAGCTCAGTCTCCAGCCCTGGTCCATTCCCTACAGGTCAAGAAGTCAGGCTGATACCACCTGAACCAAAGCCTCAAGCCTCTAATCACACAGCTGGTTTTTCCAAATGGGCCAGTCCCCATGCTGACATCCAGAGTCCCACAAGGAGTAAGCATAAACTCAGGTGTAATCCTGGGTCCCCATAGTGAAAACAAAGTGACACTCCTGTCCCTTGGAAATTTTCAAGGATTTAGAAGCTCCCTCACAAAAACCCAGAACAAAGACCAGAGAAATTCTTTAATATAAAATAAATGGAGAGCTTAGAAAGTGGATTCCATTCTGGGGCACCTTGGTGGCTCAATCGGTTGAGTGTCTGACTCTTGGTTTCAGCTTAGATCATGACCTCACAGTTTCATGAGTTCGAGCCCCGCATCGGGTTCTGTACTGGCAATTCAGAGCCTGCTTGGGATTCTCTCTCTCTCTCTCTCTCTCTCTCCCCTCTCTCCCTCTCTCTCCCTGCCCTTCCCTGCCCTTCTCCTACTCATACTATCTCTGTCTCTCTCAAAATAAATAAACTTAAAAAAAAATGGATTTCATTCAATTACCCTGCCGTATAAGGCAAATTCAAAAAAGGAGCTAAGGGGCGCCTGGGTGGCTTAGTCGGTTAAGCATCCGACTTTCGCTTAGGTCATGATCTCGTGGTTCGTGGGTTCGAGCCCCGCGTCGGGCTCTGGGCTGACTGCCAGCTCAGAGCCTGGAGCCTATTTCAGAGTCTGTATCTCGCTCTCTCTCTGACCCTCCCCTGCTCATGCTGTCTCTCTCTCTCCCCTAGAAATAAATAAAAATATTTTTTTAAAAAAAAAGGAGCTAAAACACTCACTTCAGTGGCATGTATACTAAAAACCTGGAACCATATGGAGAAAATTAGTATGGCCCCTGCATAAGGATGACACACAAATATGTGAAACATTCCATATTTTTAAGAGCAAGTGATGTAGCTGACTTTCCTAACACATAGAAACAGACACAGAGAGTTAGACAAAAATGAGGAAACAGAGGAATATGTCACAAATGAAAGAATAGGACAAAGTCACACCAAGAGACCTAAGTGAAATGGAGATAAGTAATATGCTTGACAGACAATTTAAAGTAATAATCATAAAGATACTTACTGGACTTGAGAAAAGAATGGAGGACATCAGTGATGCCCTTAACAAAGATTTTTTTAAAAAGGACCAATCAGAGATGAAGAACAATAATTGAAATTAAAAATACACTAGAAGGAATAAAGAACAGGCTAGAAGTAGCAGAAGAAAGAATCAGTGGCCTGGAAGGCAGATTAATGGGAGGTAACCAAGCTTAGTAGGTGAGGTGAAAAAATATTAGGCAAAATGAGACTAGACTTAGGGGACTCAGTGACTCCATCAAGCATAATAATGTTCACATCATAGGAATCCCAGAAGAAGAGAAAAGGGGGCAGAACATTTATTTGAAGGAATAAAAGCTAAAAACTTCGCAGTTTTTGGGAAGGAAACATAAATTCAGATCCCGGAAACATACAGATCCCCCAACAAAATCAACCCAAAGAGGTCCACACCAAGGCACACAGCAATCAAAAGGGTATAATTACAAAGATAAAGAATGAATTTTAAAAGAAGCAAAAGAAAAGAAAACAGTTCCCCATACAAGGGAACCCCATAAACCTATCAGCATATTTTTCAGCACAAACTTTGCAGGCCAAAAGGGAGAGGCATGATATATTCAAACTGCTGAAGTGGAAAAATCTGCACACAAGAGCACTCTATCCAGCAAGACTCTCATTCAGAATAGAGAAAGACAAACAAAAAGTTAAGGGAGTTCATGTCCACTAAACCAGCCCTACAAGAAATATTAAAGGGGACTCTGTGAATGTAAAGAAAGACCATAAGTAAAAGCAAGAAAAATAGAAAACTCAAAAGCAGTAATAATAAGTATATTTGTAAATTCACTCAAGGGACCGACAAAGCCAAAGGAGGTAAAGTATGATACCATATACCAAAAAGAGGGAAAGAGAGTAGTAAAGAATGGGTTCAAATTTAAGCAACCATCATCTTCAGATAGACTGCTATATGCAGAAGAAAGATGTTATACAAACCTAACAGTAACAACAAATCTAAAACCAGTAGTAGATATCCAAAAGAGAAAGAGAAAGGAATCCAAGTTAGCACTAAAGAAAGCCAATTTATGGTGAGAGAAGAGAGCAAGGGAAGGAAGGAACAAAGATGAACCACAAAATAACACACAAATAACAAAAATGGCAAAAAAAAAAACAAAACATACTTATCAGTAATTACTTTGAATGTAAATTGACTAAATACTCCCATTAAAAGACAGAAGGTGATAGAACGGATAAAAACAAAAGCAAGACCCATATACATGCTGCCTACAAGAGACTCACTTCAGACTTAAAAACACATGCAGATTGAAAGTGACAAGATAAAGAAATATTTATCATGCAAATGGATGCAAAAAGAAAGCCAAGGTAGCAATGTTTATATCCGACAAAGTCAATTTTAAAATGAAGACTGTAAGACGAAACAAAGAAGAACACTATATAATCATTAAGGAGAGAGTCCAAGAAGAAGACATAACAATTGTAAATATTTATGCAACCAACATGAAAGCACCCAAATACAAAAGGCAGCTAATAACAAACATAAAGGAACTAATCGATAGTGATGCAACAATAGTAGGGGACTTTAACACCCAACTTACATCAATGGACAGATCACCTAAACAGAGTATCAACAAGGAAACCGTGGCTTTGAATGACACACTGGACCAGATGGATTTAACACATTCACAACATTCCATCCAAAAACAGCAGAATACACAGAATACACGTGCTTTTCAAGTGTGTGTGGGACATTCTCCAGAATAAAGCACATAGTAGGTCATAAAACAAGTCTCAACGATTTCAAAAAGATCAAGTTACACCATGCCTCTTTTCTGACCACAACACAATAAAACTAGAAATCCAATATAAGACAAAATCTGAAAAGAGTACAAATGCATGGAGGTTAAGTAACATGCTATAAATGAAATTGAAAACACAAAGATCCAAAAATCTTTCACATGTAGCAAAATTGGTTGTAAGAGGGACATTTATAGCAATACAGGCTTACTATCTCAAGAAACAAGAAAAATCTCAAATAAACAACCTAACTTCACACCTAAAGGAGCTAGCAAAAGAAGAATACACAAAACTCAAATCTAAAAGAATGAAATGAAAACAGGAATTGAAGGGATCAACTTATAGACAGAGAGACAGAGACAGAGAGACAGAGAGAGAAGGGACTCAAATAAACAAAATCAGAAACAAAAGAGGAGAAATAATAACCAACACTACAGAAATACAAAGGATTTTAAGATAATATTGTATAAAAGCATATGCCAACAAAATGGACAATCTAGAAGAAATGAATAAATTTCTAGAAACATATAACTTAACAAAAGAGAAGCAAGGAGAAATAGAAAATTTGAACAGATTGATTACTAGCAATGAAATAAAATCAGTAAGGAAAAAGCTCCCAACAAACAAAAGTCCAGGACTACATGGATTCAAAGATAAATTCTACCAAATATTTATAAAAGAGTTAATACTTATTTTTCTCAAACTTTTCCAAAAATAGAAGAGGAAGAATAACTTCCAAATTCATTCTATGAAGCCAGCATTACCCTGATTCCAAAACCAGATAAACACACAACAACAACAAAAAAGAGAACTATAGGGAAAAATCTCTAATGAACATAGAAGCAGAAATACTGAACAATATATTAGCAGACTGAATCTAACAATACAGTTTAACAAAAATCATTCACCAAGATCAGGTGGTATTTATTCCTGGGAGGCAGGGATGATTCAATATTCACAAATCAATCAATGTGATACATCACATCAGTAAGAGAAAGGCTAGAAAACCATAGAATCATTTCAACAGATGTAGTAAAAACATTTGACAAAGTACAGTAACCATTCATGATTAAAAAGCTTTCAACAAAACAGATTTAGAGGGAACGTACTTCAACATAATAAAGGCCTTATATGAAAAACACACAGCTCACATCATACTCAGTGGTGAAAACTGAGAGCTTTTCCCCTAAGGTCAGGAATGAGACAAGGATGTCCATTCTCACTGCTTTTATTCAATATAGTACTGGAAGTTCCAACCACAGCAATCAAACAAGATTGCTTTGGATTACCAATCCAAATTGGTAAGGAAGAAGTAAAACTTTCACTATTTCCAGATGACATGATACTTTATATAGACAACTCTAAAGAATCCACCAAAAAACTACTACAACTGATAAATGAATTCAGTAAGATCAGAGAATACAAAATCAATGTACAGAAATCTGTTGCATTTCTATACACTAATAATGAAACAGTATAAAGAAAAATAAAGAAACAACCCTATTTATAATTGCACCAAAAATAATAAAATACCTCCAAATAAACCTCACCAAAGAGATGAAAGTCCTGTACTCTGAACACTATAAAGCACTGATGAAAGAAAGTGAAGACGACACAAAGAAATAGAAGTACATTCCAGGCTCATGAATTTGAACAACAAATATTGTTAAAATGTCTAGATTACCTAAAGTAATCTACACATTCAATGTCCTCCATATCAAAATACCAACACATTACTCATAGAACTAGAACAATCTTAAAATTTATTTGGAATCACAAAAGTCCCTGAATGACCAAAGCAATCTTAAAAGGGAAAAACAAAACTGGAGGTATCACAATTTCAGGTTTCAAGTTAAACAAAACTGTAGTCATCAAAATGGTATGGTACTGGCATAAAAACAGACACATAGATCAATGAAACAGAATAGAAAGCCTAGAAATAAACCCACTATTATATGGTCAATTAATCTTTGACAAAGGAGGAAAGACTATGAAATGGGAAAAAGATAGTCTCTTTAACAAATGGTGTTGGGAATACTGCACAGTCACATGCAAGAGAATACATCTGGACCATTTTCTTACACCATATATAAGAATACATTCAACATGGATTAAGGACCTAAATCTGAGATCTGAAACCATAAAAATCCTAGAAGAGAGCAGAAAGAGTATTTTCTCTGATGTCAGTCATAACATGATTTTAGATATCTCTCCTGAGGGAAGGGAAACAAAAACTAAAAATTAAACCCTTGGGACTGCATTAAAATAAAACCTCCCTAAAAGGCATCTACTGAATGGAAGAAGAAATTTCTAATTACATATTAGATGAAGGATTCATATCCAAAATATATAAAGAACTTATACATCCTAACACCCAAAAAACAAAAAATCAAATTAAATAGGCAGAAGATATGAACAACACTTCTCCAGAGAAGACATACAGTAGACCAATAGACACATAAAAAGATGCTTAACATCACTTATCATTAGGGAAATGCAAATCAAAATGACAATGAGATATCACCTCACACCTATCCAAATGGCTAAAATCAAAAAAACACAGGAAACAGTAATTGTTGGTGAGGATGTGGGAGAAAGGAACCTTCATGCACTGTTGGTGGGAATGCAAGCTGGTGTAACCACCGTGAAAGACAGTATGACGGTTCCTCAAAAAATTAAAAATATAATTACCCTACGACCCAATAATCGTACTGAGTACTTATCTCAAAAATATAAAAATACCAATTTGAAAGGATACATGCACCATTAAGTTTATTGCAACATTATTTACAATAGTCAAATTATGGAAGCATCCTAAGTGTCCATCATTAGATGAATGGATAAAGAAGTTGTGTATGTGTGTGTCTGTGTGTGTGTGTGAGTGTATGTGTGTATGTGTGATGGAATGTTATTCAGCCATAAAAAAAGAATGAAATTTTGCCAATTGCAACAACACAGATGAATCTAAAGGGTATAATGCTAAGCAAAATAAACCTGTCAGAAAAAGACAACTACCATATGATTTCAT